CTGGGGTTCTCATTGATGATGACCTGGACTTACTGGATGAACTTCAAATTTCTGACAATGGTTATTGATATATATATTTCTTTTTTTTTTTTTGGCTATAACACATTCTTGCCAGAGGCCTAGGGTTGTTTTCTTACCTTAAAAATGAAGGACCTGGTGATGGTGACATTTAAGGACCTAGCAACCTTTCAGAAGGCTGCAATCTGTATTGTTGGTGGCTAAAGCAACAACAATGGCACGTCTTTTCATCTTCAGCATTAGAGCTGAAACTTTGATGATGCATCGGTAAGAAAGAATAATTTTAGTTAAAATTAATCACTTATGGTACTTTCCAATGATATGTTCTCAAATATCTGATGCACATTGTATGTATGTATGTATGATAGCTGTGTATTAACAAGTGTATGTATGTATGATAGCTGTGTATTAACAAGTGTATTTATTTATTCATGGCCATGTATGTGCATGCATAGGGATATATGTGTGCTACAAACCCTTATCGACCTGATGAATTTAATTGAGAAAATCTATGCTTATACAATATTACAGAATCAATCAACAAAATTAATAATTTTTACATCATACCTATTTTCAATGTATGTAAAACTGGCAATGTTTTTTCATGGATGTGTCTGAAGATGCATATCTGTAATATATATTGAGCCCCCAAAAATAGGAGTTGGCTAAAATTAAAATTTGTTCTCAAATACCAACCGCACCCTGTATTTGCATCTTGTCTTCATTCTAAATATTTACTGACAATGAATAAGAAAAAAAACCTAGATGGGGAGAGGAAAGACAGTAAATTTTGTGAAGAGTGAAAGAAATAAATTGTTGATGAAGAGAAGACAAAACAAATCAAAAGACAGAAGAAAGTAAAGAATGATGGATAAATAAAGGTGTCTACTGTAGTCAGGATCATTGGGTCAATGTGAACGATCCTTTCCTTAGCTGCCATAGTATGTGCCTCACCATGGCTACATACAGTTTTGAATTCAGAGTTTTCTTCTGCTTGACTGGTTTCCAACCAAGGCTATAAAACCTAGTTTGTTCTACTATTTACCCATAGCTGGAGGGTGAAGAGTTGGATCATACCTTTCCCAAGGTTATTAGTACATAAGGGAATGTAATGGACTCAAATGGAATTTGGAACTGCTCTACAATTCCTCAAATTGAGTTGCAATCCATTCCTCTATTAAATTGTTAATAGTGTATTTTCTCACTTTCTGGTATTCTTTATCTTTTTTTTACATTTATTCACAAAGGTCACATGCAATTACATATACCTGCACATCATTGCCTTACTCTCTCCCAAGGCTTATGGCCAAATCATGTTGAAGTACCAGTTAAGCAATGTCAAACCTGATCTGTACCTAAGAATTTGACTGCTTGAGAATATCAGGTGCTGTAAGTTTTGATGTGTGGGTGGTGAAATGGATGTCTCAAAATTGGAAATTGGATAACTGAGTTCCAATTCCAGTCAGGTTCATTATATTCACTTATGTGCAAATACCCTTGAGGAAAGGTATGAATCCAGCTATGGGTTAGTTAGTAGGACTTGTATCAGCCAAATCATTATTATCTCCAAAAAATTCTTACAATCTAAAAATATTTTCTGGCTTTAAATAACCTGCAAAAGGATGATAAACCAAAAGGTTGAAAACAAACTAATTGATTACTCTCTCCCATTTCTCATTTGTTCCCCAAAGTTAAGCAGCATTGAATCTTGTCAGAACTTAGATGAGAGACTGCTTGGGAATGGTGAGTACTGTAAGCAACCTCCTACAATCTGAAATATGTTTGACTATAAATTACCCACAAAAGGTTGATAAGCTATCAAAGACAAATCACTCTCTCTCATATATATATATATATATACACACACACACACTACTTGAGTATAATACACCTTCATGTTTCTGAAGATTTGTTTTATTATTTATTATGCTGAGTGCATTTGTGAACTGGGTGTTTCAGATAAAGCTCTTTTTTAAGCTAAGTAAGAATTTCTGAATATGTGCACTTGTGTACAATACAACCCTCCACTTTTGCCTTTAATTTTTGTTCAAAATACTATGTATGTATGCATGTATGTATGTATGTATGTGTGTGTGTGTATATATATATATATATATATATATATATATGAATCATTCATACGAAAAGAAAATAGTTTCCATGCCTGATGATGACCAGAGAACCTGTCGAAAGTACTCGTATATTTAAGACCTAATACTGTTTATAATTTTAAAAAACAAGGATTGTAACATTCAGCAAGTGGTTAGTGGGTTAATGCATTTTTAAAATTTAGTTAGCGAAGGGATTTTGTCATTTTATATCATTAACTTTACTAATTTACTTTTTGTATAAATGATTCATTGTAATATAAATCAAACTGCACCTCATATTTGACATATTAACACTGCATGGTGACTGGCAATTTCATGCCTTAAGCGATCATCATCTCGTGTTCTGATGTTCACTTAAGGCTTGAAACTGATTGACTCCATTCTGTGGTGAGGTTTTTGTCCACATTGTTTATCTTTTCCAATATTGATCTATCTTCCTTCATAAATATTGTAAATTTTGCAAATTTATATAATTAATATACCAAATTTTATACAATTATCCATATATATATATATATATATATATATATATATATATATATGCATGGTTATATGTATTAAGTACACATGAACCAATGCTCTTTTATGTAATAGTCCTAGGTATGACAATAAACTACACCTGGCAACATAGCTTCTGATTGGAAAATTGGAGGTTTTGAGGAACATGGAACCACTTCTTAATTGCTGCTGTTTTCAGGTCCACTTTGACTCAGAGTGGCTGCACCTGTTAGGGTCCCAGCTATGGGCAAATAGTGAACTCTGTTCAAACAAAAACAAAACACTATGAAAGTGTAAAAATTGATTTTTATAGTAAAAATACCAACAATACATATTTGTAGTGAAATTACCAAGAATATCTATTTGTAGTAAAGTTAGCAACAATACATTTTCTCTGTAGTTGAAGGCATACAATTGCTGTAGTTGATATGCAGCTAAACAAAATCAATCATCCAAACCAAAATATAATTTCAACAAAACTACAGCATAAAACACACATGCCTCTAGTAATTATGTCCGCACAAGCATGTATATATTCAAAAGTATTTGAAAAACTGCTGATCTACTTGAATTTGTACACACAATCATCTCTAGTGGCATTGTTCAGAAAAAGAAAACAATTCCAGTGAGCGGAAGTTTGGTGGGTGAAAATTCTATGTTTATGAAAGAGATTCGAGGAGAATGGCCAAATTTGTTCAAGCTGGAAGCACGACAACAGTTATTCAAATAACTAGTCTTTACAATCGAGGTGTACACAAACATCTCTGAATGCATAAAAACTCGAAACTTGAAGCAGATGAGCTACAGCAGTAGAAGACCACCTGTGGTGCCTATCTTGTCAGATGAGAACAAGCAACTGAGTATAAAATTTGCTAAGTATTACAAACATTTGACAATAGAAGATTGAAAAAAATGTTGCCTGGTCTGATAATTCTTGATTTCTGCTAAAATATTCAGATGATAGAGCCAGCATTTGGCATTGCATGAAAGTACAGATCCATACTGTCTTGTATCAATGGTTCAGACTAGTGATTGTGGTGTAAATGGTAAGTCAGTGGCTGCTGATGTTACTATGGCTTTGAACTGGTTAATCACCCTCCCTATTCTATTGATTTGACTATCATCTGTTCCCCAACATGAAAAAACACTTGGCTGGGAACCAGTATCACAATGATGATGACATCATATCTGCTGTTCATGACTCTTTTGATCAAGAGAATGAACAGTCAGATGCCAATTTACCTGCAAAGAAAAAAAATGCAGTAATTGATAAGAAGAGTTGAAATTAATGCATGCAAGATTTCACAGTTCTAGCATCACACCTTTATAGTCAGCCTATATCTAAGCATATGTTTCATTACTTATATGCTTATGAACATGTAAGAATGTATAGTAACACATACATATTTATTTCCACATGTTTATATATATTCAGACAGCCTCATTGCAAAAAGCCTATGCTAACTTTTACTGTCCCATAATAATTGTTACATATTTGCCTACACTTTTCATATGATATTGTAACAACAGTAATGGGACAAAAGTAGCAAAAAATATTACCATAATCCCATAATAATTGTTATATTTATACACACATTTCAACAACTGAATATAACAAGTTTTACAAGACAGGAATAATATTTACTGAGCCTTTCTTAGTAAATACCAAGGCCAAATGAAGAGGAATGGAGATAGGACAACCATATTACGGTAGTCTTCTTTGGATGGCATTTCTGTCTTGAAAACATTCTTGGAAATCCTGATTTTAATCAAGCTTGACATGGAACTTTGTCATGCTTAGCATCATGACATAAAGCTAACTGCATGGACTGGAAGACTGTGTTGCACCTATCTTCACAATAGGGAAGATGTACTTGTCTTGTAAATCTGCTTTTGAAATATTGGATTTTCCCCTTGTTCAAACACAAATCACTGGCATCATTGTGAAAATACACCAGTGTTAGGAGGGCATGCTACAGTCTTTTAAGATGGAATAATCTTTTCCCTCTTTGCTCTCATCCCACTAATAGACATTCAACTGAACAGTGTAAACAAAAAAAAAAAAGAAAAAAAGAGGTTTTGAATTATATGTTGGCATATATTTGTTTCTTCTTAAAATCTTGCCATGTTTTGCCTCGTCATAACATCATCTTTTTTCTGCTGTGGCCTTGTTGGAACGAAAATAGAAAAGAGAATAAAGATATTATCAACTTACAATGTCTCTTACCTGGCAAATGTACAAAGACTTTTAAATGCTTCTTTCCATCTGTATTTGTCTTTTGCTCTCAGTTTAGCTTTTATTGCAGCTTGAAATTGTTTCTTCTCAGTTCATCTTGGTATATTTTCAAATCTTTTCATTTTCATTTCTTTCAGACTGGTCCATTGGGCGAGCAGTCAGATTGATCCAATTGGAGTGGACTACATTCTACAGAAACTTGGATTCTCTCATGCCCGTGTCACGATCCCAAAATGGATGCAGCGTGGATTCATGGACCCCATGGACAAAGTGCTGTCTGTCCTTGTCAACAAGCTGATGCTTGTGTTACGAGAGAAGCCAACAACTGGTGACGAAGATACCTGAGGCTGTTGAAAGACAGTCTTGTTAATAACCAGCAGCAACAATAAACACTTCCTCCAAAACAAAACAAAAGAAGCAGCATAGTTCTTTAAAACAGCCTTATCGTTATTGTGATGATCCCCCACATTTGTTTTATTTTTATTTTTATTTTTTTTTATTGTTACACTTCCCAGCTAAGGCCAAGCTGTTAAGGTTGTGCAATACTGGCCTGGTCTGGCTAAGCTATACTGGACTGGTCAGTCGGTGGATAGCCTGGTCAGTTTTGGGATTCTGAATTATGAAAACTGATGTCAAAGACATAGGAAAAAAGTAATGGGAAGAATGTCGATAAATAAAATCCTGGAAGGAATTGAAAAATATAATTTTTTTTATATTTTCTGGCACTTTGTGTTGGGAAGAAAGATTCTTTAATTTAAAAGAAGAGTAAAATTGTACAAAGACCAAACATGGGAAAAGTGAATACTCAAAAAAAAAAAAAAATTGATTGTCGGGGGGGAACCCCTCTTAAAAGAAACAAATACAAACAAAATGACCATCCCAAATGACAGTAGTAAAAAAAAAAAAAAAAGAGTTAGACATTATATGTTAACTCAGTGTATAAATTTATGAAATGATTTGTATATATGTTTTATATAAGTAAAAAAACAAAAAAAAAAAATAAATAAATAAGACATTTTTTGCCACATTTGCCAAAAAATATTAGGGAATCTCTATGGAATTTGTGGTTGTTAAGATATTTAACAAAATGAAATATTACAGAAAAATGACATTCATGAATGAAACTAGGAAAAAAATAAAAATGAAAATGAAAATGCTGATTATGAATCAAAGAATGAACATAACTGTGTGAAAGAAATTAGTTGAGAGAATGACGATGAGAAAAAAAAAAAAAAGCAAAGAGAAATTCTTGATTCTTGTTATTTATTTTTTCTGCATTTTTATTATTTATTTTCAAGAGCTTTTTTTTTATATTTTTTTTTTGTCTTTTCCATTTGATACTTGTTATTCTTTGAGATAGGTGTGTGTGTGTGTGTGTACAAGGTTTTATGGTAGATTTTATGGACCTTGCTCTGTTGCTTTGTGTGGTAGATGGTATTAATGTAATTAAAGTAGCTGAACACATTCTCTGAAGTGAAGGAGTGAAGCGAAAGAGAGAGAGAGAGTGTAAAGAGAGAACTGAGTAAGATAATGACAGAAATAGAATGAATAAGATAAGAATGGGGGAAGGCAGAGGTAACGAAGGAGATAAAGACAAAGAAAACATGAAGAATGAGGAGGAGGGAGAATGGAGAGAAGTGGAGTGAAATTTGGAGAAAAGAAAGAAAGGAAGCAGCATAGAGCGAGTGGGAAAGGAGAAAGATAGAGAGACATTGGCATAGGGATGGATAACAATAAAGAAGTCAGTTAAGTAAGTGAAACAGTGAAAGCAAGAAACGGGGAGAGAAAGAGATGAACGTTAACAAGTAGATTAGAAAAGAAAATTCTAATTAGATGTATATTTCTAATCTATGAAAATGTTGCCGCCATTATTATTAGCATCAATATTATTATTATTACTTTTATTATTACAATCTATTTTTGTTGCTAATGAAAGAAAGTACAAAGAAAAATAACAAATGTTTGCAGTATGATGAAAACCCAATTATTGCCAAGATGTCGTATTTAAAAGTACAGTTTCTAATATTCTGTTTGTGTATATCTTCAAAGATTCAAAGTCTGGCAGAATAGAAATGAAATAAAAAAAGGGAGGATATATAAAAGGCCAGTTATTCTCACCTCATGCCTGAATTATTCTGGCATAAAACAAAAGAAATTGTCACTGTCTGGTCTGTGTGTGTCTGTGTGCGTCTCAATGACAATCGGCTTTTGTCACTTGGTTGATAAAAGACAGAAAACAATCTCTTGGAAGAGAAAAGTTTTCAAGTCACTTCTTGACTGTAGATTCAAAATGAGCTTCTTATTTTGAATAATGCTTTATTTTTTATTTATCTTTTTTTTATTTTTTTAAATGTACCTTTGTCTGAACCATGTACTTGTAAATTCTCTGAAGTGTTGATAATTTTTTGTTCTTTGTCACTTACCTTGAGTCTCATATTGTAAATTTGAAATCTGTCAAAATCAACTTGGCTGGTTTTTTTTTTTATTATTTTCAATGTTTTTACTGAAAAAAAGAAAAAAAAAAACAATCAATTTGATCCAAAGTAGACATGACACGAAACCTTAATTTTTAGATTTTTAAGAAAAATTTTTTATTTTTCGTTTGTAGCAAAAATTCTTGTTTGGGTTTTGGGTTTTCTGCTGGAAATCAGATTAGAATCAAAGAATTGTATTTTGCTGTCCATTCCTTAATTCCATCATTCCTTTAAAAAGAAAATAATAATGCTGGCAATTAATTTAGATTTTAAAATCAATTTGTCTACAAATGAACTTTTGACTCTCAATAAAATTGTGACAATAAATGATGAATCACTATTTTCTGTAGATTAAAAGAAATTGTGGGTAATTAGAAGCAACTATAGAATTTTAAAACTGCCCACAAGCTATACTTAATTTACACACACAGACACATACATACATACATACATATATATATATATATATATATATATATATATATATATATATATATATATATTTAAAGATAACTGACAAAGGTACTTAAGTTAATTTTTTTGTTATATTTTTCTTGTCTGCAAATAAAAAAGGTTTCTCCTTTTGGAAACTTATATATAGACATTGTCCGAATGATTGGTCCTTCTGAGTGCTTTCTGCTAATCTGTTCAACATTTTCAAGGATTTTAGTTGTGTTATGGCAGAGTTTTTTTGATAATGCCAAATAGATAATCGTAAAGTGCACAGAATGAACAACCTTACCATTTGGTCAATTTCTACAAAACACAAAGTTCCTAAAAAAAAGAAAACTCTTGTTTGTATACAAGAAAAATTCAATTAAAAAAAAAATTCCGTACAAAGACAATGTAAATAAAGAAAAATTATCTTTGCTAGCATATTTGTGATGGACTTTATCAAGATAAATGTGCTTTGATAAAATTCATCAGAAGATGAAACTCATTGCCAAAGACAAGTTTTTCTTTATTCCTATATATATATATATATATATATATATATATATATATATATATAATATATTTATATATATATATATATATATATATATATATATATGAAAAACCAGCATCACATTTTTTTCTTTGTTTTAATATCATAGTCTTTGTTAAAAATCAGCTTTTCTTGTAAAGCCAGTGGCATAGATTCTGTGATTTAGTTGTAATAATTAAGTTTTTAATTTACAGAAACACCAAGATTGCCAAGTTTCTATCATCCATGTCACCAATATCATCTTTTAATGTTGTGATTTCTGTCTAAACTCCAAACTTGTCTGATGCTTTCTGCAGACAATCTTTCAATTTCTAGCCGATAGATTTCATCCCAACCTTGAACTACCGGTCTAGAATTTCAAGAAATCAGTCAACATTGCAGCTTCCACAATAATCTGTGACAATCACAGATGTACAATTTTTATTTTGTTAATATTAATTTTAGTTTTGTTACAGAAAATTGTCAAGTCTTTTTCTTAATTAATTGATTGAATGACAATTCAGTTTTACTTATGAGTTCTGAGTGAAGAATTGTTTGGTATGGTCTACCAATGTTGGCTTTTGTAAATAAAAATTGGCTGATCTAGCTAATAAATTGTATTACCTCTGTCCCATAATTATTGTAACGTTTAGTGCATGAAATATGTGACAACTGTTATGGGACAGAGGTAAACCTTGTGAAAATTTATTTCTTTTCATTATCTCTTGTTTTAACATAAATACTAACCATATAATCTGGTATTATAAAAATAAAATTCTAGTTTTACAGGTCTCTAAAAATGAGGTATTAATTATAGGTTTCCACTTAGCATTCCATTTTGAGGATAATCAACATTAATAAGTTAAATAATTTTTCTTTTCGGACATAAAATTTCAATGGTCTTGATTGAGCAATTTAATTATGTTGATTCATTGTCAAAGTGAATTACACTTTGGTAGAACTAAGTTCAGTTTGGATTCCTATAAGTATTTACTAAATTTTGTCTGGTACAAGGCCACAAATCTGGGGTATCTAATGAAAATTAAACCTATTACTGTAGTAATGGTCTGCTTGAGTAGCTCATTAACCATTACTCACGCTTCTGGTTGACCTACTAGATATATGTATTGAGCAATTGTGGATGAAAAGATCGTAAAAAGTTCGGTATTAAGCCACCATTTATAAGTTTTCTACAGAAAATGATAATTGCTAATATTAACCATTTCCTTATAAGGAAATTTTTATCATTCATTGACTGAGCAGTTAGTGCTACTGTCAGTTAAAATTTATAAAATCTTTCTATTAAAACAAATAGGTTTTTTTAAATCTACCGTTATTGCTCTTTCCAGTATTGATGAGTGTTTCAATCATAACCTTTTGGTTGAAATAGTGTGGAACGTCAACATCTTGATTATGTCATTATTTTCTCTTTTCAAGTCCAGTAGTTGTTATTGCTCTTTACAGTATTGATGGTGGTTTCCTTCCTAATCTTTAGTTTGATATAGTGTGGAACGTCAACATCTTGATTATGTCATTATTTTCTCTCTTAGTTACATGTGCTATTCATTTTAGTTGTTGCCGTTGTTGCAAGTCCTCAACTGATGTTGTTTCTGTTATTTTGTACTGTTCTTTGAGGTTCTGTAGAACCATTCCATAAGGTTTGAAAAAGGTTGGTCCATGCTAACACCTATGGTGTTCATTTGCTCAAAGCCATCTGAGAAAGCGCTTGTACACAGCTGGCAGTTTAGACATTTCTGAAAGGGTTAAGCACCATGCATGACATCCATATGAAAATCTTGATCTGATAACGCTATTTAAAAACATGACTCTAGTTCTTAGGTTCACGTTTGGGTTTTGTAGTATATTATGGTGTGGGACTAAAACTAGTATAGCTTTTGTTTTAT